TTTAAAAACTATCCATGCTGCTGCTTCTCCAAGTCATTGGCTAGCTATGCAAAATTGGTTACTACAAGCAGCAAGCAACTGTCTTATCCATTGTACACAGAGATGCTGATGATATTAAGGTTGCACAGAAAGGAGATGAGACATATTCCAGTCATACACTACGTATTTTTAGTCCTTTTAATGTCCTTCCTGCTTACCTATGGCTACTCTAAACTTTCTTGGTATTCAGTACAAAAACATTCTTAATCAGCTTGCTACTGAAATTCATTAACACTCTATTCACTTAAAAACTGCTTAATTTTAGGGCTGTGTATGCTTTGTGATTATTTTTGAACTATTCTAAAGCTAAAACTTACAAGTTTAGATCTGTTAGGTATCCTGGGATACAGTATGTGTGAAAGCCATGACAAAACAAAGTTGAAATATGAGCTACTGGCTAAAGTCCAACCATCTGATGACAGAAATTCAAACTACAAAAAAACAGCCTCATTCTTTTCTTTGTTTCAACCCACACTGGAATAATATATATTTTACTTCTGCTACATCAACATTTGTGGAGATCTGTGTGCATGAGCAAACAAAAATGAAGCCAAATTTTCTCCTGAATCTCATTTTAATATATTACAATTTTCCCTCGTGGTTATTATTTTAAAAGAAAAGCAATTAGTCATTATTCTGACTTTTTATCAAAATTAGAAATGTGCTTGGCATATGAGACATTTAGTAATCATTCTGTCCATATAACAGGTCTTTCAATAATTAAAAAACAAAATTACAAAGTTAAATGCCAAAAATGTATGTAAGCAATTAGAATATATAATGATTTCCAAAGGGGGAGAAATTCCTTAAATGACCAGATAATTTTTAGTAACCTATCTAAAGTGTTGCTTCATTTTCACTGTCACACTGGAAGCAAAGTACACTTTTATTTAAAGTTACTGTTACATATTAGATTTCATCTAGGTATTAGAAATAATTTGACAGTACAAAATATTTTGCCATCATAAAACCCAGGAATAGATCTCGCAACTCTTTTCTCTGTCTTACACACATCATCTTTAATCTCTCCCACATGTCACAAAATAAGGTGTTAAAACTAATTCAAAAGATTCAAAATCTAAAAGTCAGTGCAATCAATGGTAACTGTCTGGTTTAGTGGCATTTAGTACACTCATAGTGTCATATAACTACCACCTGTACCTAATTCCAAATATTTTCATCACTCCAAAACAAAAATAAACAAAAAACACCTTGTGCCCATTAAGAGTCAGTTATTCCCCCAACCCAGCTGCTGGCAATTGACAACCTGCTTTCTATCTCTAGATTTACCTAGATATTTTATACAAATGAAATAATATGCCAATATAAAATAAAAATTAAAAAAAGCAATCATATGATAAGCGGCCTTGTGTGTCTGGTTTGTTGATGATTTTTATTTTTTTTTAAATTTATTAAGATTTGTTTTGTAGCCTAACATATGGTCTATCTGGTCTATTCTGGAGAATGTTTGATGTATGCTTGAGAAGAAATGTATTCTGATACTCTTGAGTGAAATGTTCTACATATGTCTATTAGGTTTAGTTGGTTCATAGAGTTAAGTCCTCTGTTTCTTTAATGACCTTCTGTCTAGATGTTCTTTTCACCACTGAAACAGGGTTATGAAGTCTCTAACCATTATTGTACAATGATTTCTCCCTTCAATTCTGTCAATATTTCTCTCATATATTTTGGAGTCTGTTATTTGGTGGGTGTATACATATATATTTATCACTGTTACACCTGCTTGATGAACTAACCCTTTTATATATAAAAATGCCTTTTTACATAAAAGTCCTTTGGTAAAGAATCCGCCTGCCAATGCAGGAGATGCAACACACATGTGTTCGATACCTGGGTTGGGAAGCTGCCCTGGAGTACAAAATGGCAACCCACTCCAGTAGTCTTGCCTGGAAAATTCCAAGGACAGAGGAGCCTGGTGGGCTACAGTCGATGGGTTGCAAAGAGCCAGACACAACTGAGGGAGTGAGCAGGCACGCAACATTCTTCTAAAGTGAGTTTCCTGTGGACAATATATAGGTAGATCATATTTTTTATCTCCTATCAATCTCTGTCTAACTGGTGAGTTTGTTTTATATTTAAATTGATTAATAAGGAAGGACCTGCTTCTTCCATCTTGTTATTTGTATGCTATATGTCATGTCTTTTTTTATCCCTTCATTTGTCTGATCTTGCCTTCTTTTGTGTTTGATTTTTAGTGTACTATTTCTGTTCACTCCTCATTGCCTTTTCTGGATATTTTTTAGTGATTTTCTTAGTGGTTAACCTGAGGATTACAATTAACATCTTAAATTAATAATCTACTTTGAATCAACATTAACATATCTGTAATTGTTGTTTTACAAATTTTAAATCATATAGAGAACAAAACAGGAGTTAAAACCCCCAAAACAATACTGACTTTTCTATTTTCCTATATACCTGTACAGGTTTTTATCATTTAAAGATTTTCTTTGTCTGATTTTGGTTACTATTCAGTATAATTTGATTTCGGCCTAAAGGATTCCAGTTAGCATTTCTTATAGGGAATGTCTCCTAGCAACAAACTTCCTCTGATTTTACTATCTAGAAATGTCTTATTTTCTCCTTCTGGGACTCCTATTATGCATATGTTGTTACACTTGATATTGTCCCACAAGTACCTTAGGCTCTATTCATTTGTATTCATTCTTCTTGCTCTGCTACTCAGACTGGACATAACTGACCTATCGCCAAGATTCTGATTCTTTAATCTAGCTGCTTAAATCTATATTAGACTCTTTGAGTAAATTTTTCATTTTATCTACTTCTCAGTGCAATAATCTTTAAAATTTTGTATTTATATTTGGCTACACTGGGTCTTTGCTGCTGAGCACAGGCTTTCTCTGGTTGCAGCAAACAAGGCTGCTCTTAGTTAAGGTACAGTGACCAGGCCTCTCCATTGCAGCGGCTTCACCTGTTGTGGAGCACATGCTGTAGGTGTGCAGGCTCAGTAGTTAGGACGCATGGGCTTAGGTGCCCCATGGTATGTGGGATCTTCCCAGATCAGGGACTGAATTTGTGTCCCCTGAATTGATAGGTGGAGTCTTAACCACTTCACCATTAGGGAAGCCCTCAGGCTCAGTAATTCCTACTCAATTCCTTTTTATAATTTTAATTCTTTATGAATATTCTCTATTTATTAATACATAATACTCCCTATTTCCTACAGTCCCTTTCCTATGGTTTCCTTTAGCTCTTTGAGCATATTTAAGACAGCTGATTTAAAGTCTTTGTCTAGTAAGCGCAATGCCTGGATTTCCTTGGGGATGGTTTCTATTTCTTTTTTTCCCCTCCTATTCTGATAATTGCTGATAAACCATGCAATTCTTCAAACTGAAAATTAGACATTTTTAATATTGCAATGTGGTAATTCTGGAAATCAGATTCCTTCTTTTTCCCAGGGTTTGACACTGTAACTTGCTGAGGACTATAGTCATCACTTTGTTTAGTGATTTTTCCAAACTATTGTTGCAAAGACTGTATTCTTCCTCATGTGTCATCAGTGAAGTTTCTGCTCTATTATTTAAGCAGTCATCAAGTGCCCTCACAGAATTTCCTTAAATGTTAGATGCAAAAAATAAAAAACCAACAAACAAAACACATCCCAGCTATTTTAGTGTTTGTAGATTGGCTCTGAGCTAGGGTGCTCTTTTGATGTTTAGCTAGACTCTCCTATAACTCCGTCTTAACTTACCTCCACTTCCATGGAGCACACTATCAACAAGAAATACAAGGCCACTCAAGTCTTTTCCAAGTATGCATCAGGCCCTGAGTATCACTTTGGATTCCCTAGGCAGTAGTCTTTCAAAGCTCTTATTCCCTGAAATGTCTTTATTCTCATCCTCCTCCTTCCTAAGCTTTTTAGTCTGTCTGCTGCTGGTCCTATCTGCCGTCTCTTGGCCTGATGGGTTATAGGTGGTATACATGTCTTCAAATTTTTAGAATAGATGATATCTTGAGGTGTGTGAAATGAAAGGCAAATCTTTGCACTAGTAGGTCAGTAAACTATGAGTTAAAAGGCACATCCACTTTTTAAAAAACAAAACTCTATATATTGCCCCTCACTGAATTCCCCATCACTAGTAAGCCACACTAGGAATGTAGGTTGCCATCCCCAAGACTGCTGCTAAGCTGGAAATAGTGCATGGTAGGCAGGTAAGCAAAAGGTCACAACACTTTCTTCCCAAAATTTATTGGCTTCTTTCTTCATTAAACATTACCCTGGTTGCTATAACTTTTTTTTAATTAGATTTCAATGATCCAAAAAGTTGATTCTGTCCATTTTGGACAGCATAATGATTTGCTTCAGTGGAAGAACTGATTTTTTAACTGAAGAAAATGACAGTCATTTTCCCCACCATGTCTCCCAAAAGCATTTGCAAATTATTACCTTTAACTTATAATATTAAGCCCTTTATTTTCTTTCCTCACATCTCATTTCTTCAGGCTGGTTCATCTAGATGAGACATCCTTTCCTCTGTTCTTTAAAACTTTTATTCAAACTTAAAAGTATTCTCTAGAAACCATTCTCTAAACTTCCAGGTTGAGTTAAGTGCCCCTTACTTACACTGCCATAGCACCTGTTCTTTAACAAATCATCACATTCCTGAAATTGCCTGTTACTATCTCTGTCTATCCCACCAAACAGCAACTTGATAGCAGTCACATCCATAATACATTGCCTTCAGGAATAGTTTTATAACAAGCAATGAATCTCAACCAGAGGGGTATAATCTCCTCAACATTTCAGATTACAGGCTCCTCTTTTCTACTCCTAAAGCCTAGCATAATGCCTAACATCCAGCAGCTATACAGTGAATATACTTATTGCATGCAATTACATAGTTTAGGCGATACAGAGAAACAAAGTAGCATTTAATGAAGTAAATACCACAATCTTATTTTTCACTGTAGCAACTTACGTTCTGGTTGTTTTTCATTGGGTGTTATGGATCGCACAAAATCTTGTGGTGTCATAAACACTTCAGATTCACCATGCTCACTGATTACTTTCAAGGTGGCAAAATAGCGGAAGATTTTATCTGGTGTGGAATATGCACGAATCCTATTCTCATATTCCATCACCTAAAATTAGAAATTCAGAAAGTGTTACTGTATTAAGCAATTCTCATTTTCATGTATTTTCTCTTACTTGGGAGAAATTTTATACCATTTTTCCTATAACTGTTTTTTTTTTTAATATTAGAAATTACTTGTGTCTCAAAAACCTGTGATACACTACTCATACTTCAGTTGAAGCAATGATTGTGTAAGTTTTGTTTAGAATGTTTTTTAAGTGTTTTTTTTAGTTGGAGGATGATTGCCTTACAATGTTGGCTGGTTTCTGCTGTGCAGCATCACAAATCAGTCATAACTCTCTCTCTGCATATATATATGTATATGTATACTCCCTCCCTTTCTAAGCAATTTTATTTTACTTAAATTTTGGCTGTATTGGGTCTTAATTACTGCATGAGAGCTTTCTCTAGTTGCTACCAGTGAAGGTACTCTAAGCTCTAGGGTGTGCTGGCTAAGTAGTTGTAAGCCCACAGGCTTAGTTGCCCTAAGGTATCTGGAATATTCCTGGACCAGGGATTGACCGGTGTCCCCTGTAATCCAAGGTGGATTCTTAACCACTGGGCAACCAGGGAAGCCTTAGAAGTTTTTGAATAATTTCCTAATTTCCTAAATCACTGAAAGCAAGCAAAAGAAAAATGTCATACAAGAATTCAAAAAGTCTCAGTCAAAGGCTCCATTCACATGACAGCCTATCATTTTTTAAATACCAAGTTTTCTGGAAGGGATTGATTTTACAGTTTTACTTTAATGCAATTTCCTGAATTCTAAAACAAAACAGACAAGGGACTTTCACAGATCTGAACAACTCTTTCAAATACAAAGGACATTAAACAACAGCATAAAAAATAAAATTACATATCATGGAAACTCAATTACTAACACATCTGAAGCAAAGACTTTTACTCTGGACTGAAACATTATAGGCTTTCAGAGAACATTTAAATATAGCATATTTAGAAAAGAGTAGACGTGGGAAGAACACAAGAAAATATTTGAATAGGAACAAAATTATATATGGCATACATTTAACTAAAAGAGTATAACATTAACATAAAATCTAATATAAAAGTTAATATAACATTAATACAAAAGTCCATTTCCTTATCTAGCACCCAAGACCCCATCTGACCATGAAACATACAAAAATACTGTTATCTTTTGCATAATATTCTTGTACAACCTATATCGTACTTTGGTGAAAAGATTTCTCTCATACCTGAATTTTTATGTTGCGATAACCAATACTAAATAGTATCTTATAAATAACTGGCTAGAAAATATGTCAAGGCAATATGATCTAAAAATCCGTATTATAAGGCAATTATCCTTCAAATAAAAATTTAAAAAAATCTATCAGTGAATTCAATGTCTATAAAAAACATTATTCAATGTCTATATTTTTAAAAAAATTATTAATGCTTTAATTTGCTTTATTAACACAGCTATTACTGTAACTGTCATTTCTGGCTAGATGGTCACTTTGAGGTCACCAATAGCAGCTGGTTAACAATGGGCTCAATTTTATTACCAGATATGTTTTCAGTCACCAAGAAAGGAATGCTAATTCGTAACTATACATAACAGGAATCTTTCTAAAGCTAATTTGCATTGAAGTCTGAATAATGATTTCAGAAAATTTTTCAATAGATTTGGCACATGGCAGACACACTAAGCATTTCCTTAGCAGCCTTTCAACACCTTAGTAGCCTTGAAACTTAGCTACAAGTCTTAAACCAAAGGCATTTTATATTTTACTATATATGCTGGGTCATACCAGGTACAAAACAAAAATAATCAGTTTGCAATATTTAGGGTATAAGCTACAGCTAATGCCAAAGATGGCTTTGTCAACTAAAATGTTAAGTCAATCATATGTAAGATAAAGGCAGAAAAAGAACAACTTAAAAAGTCAATGATTTACAGACTGAAAATCAGATCCTTCACTGCTACCCAAAAAATACACTGCTGAATATTATTAATTAGTTTTAGTTTGAAATAATAGGTAAAATAACAGACTTTCTGCATTTCCATATTTTTAGAGTTTAGTAGAGATATACTGTATAGTATATTTTTGTTTCTTTCACTTAGCAATCTAGTTTTTTTTTTTAAGTCTTTATTGAATTTGTTATAATATTGTTTCTTCTCCAAAAGGCATGTGAAAAGATGCTCAACACCACTAAGTATCAGAGAAATGCAAACTAAAACTATAATGAGGGCCTGACACCAGTCAAGATGGTCATCATCAAAAAGTCCACAAACAATAAATGCTGGAGAGGGTGTGGTAAAAAGGGAATCCTCCCACACTGTTGATAGGAATGTACACTTGATCTTAGCCAAAAGGCCGAGAAGCAATATGTTGATAGGAATGTAAATTGGTACAGCTACTACAGAGAACAAGATGGAGGTCCCTTAAAAAACTAAAAACAGAGCTACCACATGATCCAGCAATCCCACTCCTGAGCATATATCTGGAGAAAAACATTGTTTGGAAAAAATCCATGTATCCCAGTGTTCAATGCAGCACTGTTTATAATAGCCAAGAGATGGAAGCAAACTAAATATCTATTGACAGATGAATGGATAAAGAAGATGTGGTACATATACTCAAGAGAATATTACTCAGCCATTAAAAAGGAGGACCTGGAGTTTATCACATGAAGTAAAGTAAGTCAGAAGGACAAATATATGATATTGGCTTATGTATGAATCTAAGTAAATGATACAAATGAACTTATTTACAAAATAGAAACAGACTCATAGGCTTAAGAGAACAAACTCATGGTGAGGGGAGGGACAGACTCGGAGTTTGGGACTGACATGTATACACTGCTATATTTAAAATAGATAATGAACAAGGAATACTGTATAGCACAGGGAATTCTGCTCAATATTCTATAATAACCTAAATGGAAAAAGAATTTGAAATAGACACTTGCAAGTGTACAACTGAATCACAGTGCTGTACACCTGAAATTAACATAGTACTGCTAATTAACTCTACTCCAATATAAAATAAATTGTTTTTTTAAAGAAGATAGATAACAGTATTGGTGAGGGTATCGAGAAAAGCTGACACTTCTGCACTGCTGGTGGAAATGTTAAATTGATTCAGTCACTATGGAAAACAGTATGGAGGTTCCTCAAGAAATTAAAAATAGAACTATCATATGATCCAATAATCCAGCTTTTGGGTATATAGCCAGAGGAAATGAAATCAGCATCTCAAAGCGCTATCTGTCCTCCATGTTCATTGCAGCTTTGTTCATGATAGCCAAGGTATAGAAAAAATCTATGTGTCCATCATGGAATCTCAAGGAACTCCAAAGAACCAACATAATTTTGAAAGAACAAAATTGGAGGACTCTAACTTTCTGATTTCAAAACTTATTATAGTCATAAGAAGAATGTGGTATTGGCATAAAGATAGGCATATACACCAAACAAAGAGAAAAGAAAGCCCAGAAATAAACCCTCATATATATCAACAAATGATTTTTGATAAGGGTGCCAAAATCATTCAGTGGAGAAAGGACAGTCTTTTTGACAAATAGTGTTGGGAAAATAGGATATCCACATACAAAACAATGAAGTTGGGGGCTTCCCTGGTGGTACAATGGTTAAGACTTCCAATTCCACTGCAGTGGGCATGGGTCTGATCCCTAGTCAGGGAAGTTCTGTATGCTGGGAGATGCAGCCAAAAAAGAAAAAAACAAAACTTTAAAAAAAGATGAAGTTGCACCCTTATCTTAACTCCATATTAAAAAATTAACACACAGTGAATCAAAGACCAAAATGAAAGATCTAAAACTAGAAAACTCTTAGAAGAAAACATAGAACAAAAGCTTCAAGACACTAGACTTAGCAGTGCTTTCCTGGATGTGATGCCAAAAGCATATGCAACAATAGAAAAAAAAGAAAGACTTCATGGGTGTAGCTATGGCTGATTATTGTTGATGTTTGGCAGAAAACCACAAAATTCCATAAAGCAATTATCCTTCAATTTAAAAAATTAAGTGGCCAAAAAAAAAAAACCCACCATATATAAGTTACAAAACACCTGTTGTACATCAAACAATAGTATCAATAGAGTAAAAAGGTAATCCGCAGGAATTAGCAATCAGATCATATAAAAAAATACTAAAACTCCATTAAAGAAAATTTTAAAATGGGCAAAAGATGTGAACAGACATTTCTCCAAAGATATACAAATGGCCAAAAGCACTTGAAAAAATGCTCAACATCATTGATCATTAGTGAAATACAAATGAAAACTACACCAAGATACTACCTCACACCCATTAGGATGGCTAATATCAAAAAAACAAAAAAATAACTAGTGTTAGCAAAGATGTGGTAAAAGAGGAACCATTGCTGGTGGGAACGTCAAATGGTGCAGCACTGCCAAAAACAGTGCTTCCATAAAAACAAGCACTTCCATCAAAAAAAAAAACCAAAAAACTGAAAACAGAATTACCATATGATGTGCTCGCTTCGGCAGCACATATACTAAAAATTTGGAACGATACAGAGATTAGCATGGCCCCTGCGCAAGGATGACATGCAAATTTGTGAAGCGTTCCATATTTTTTAATGGCTATACTACCCAACGCAATCTATAGATTCAATGCAATCCCTATCAAGCTACCAACGGTATTTTTCACAGAACTAGAACAAATAATTTCACAATTTGTATGGAAATACAAAAAACCTCGAATAGCCAAAGTAATCCTGAGAAAGAAGAATGGAACTGGAGGAATCAACCTGCCTGACTTCAGACTATACTACAAAACCACAGTCATCAAAACAGTATGGTACTGGCACAAAGACAGAAACACAGATCAATGGAACAGAATAGAAAGCCCAGAGATAAATCCACGAACCTATGGACACCTTATCTTTGACAAAGGAGGCAAGGATATACAATGGAAAAAAGACAACCTCTTTAACAAGTGGTGCTGGGAAAACTGGTCAACCACTTGTAAAAGAATGAAACTAGAACACTTTCTAACACCATACACAAAAATAAACTCAAAATGGATTAAAGATCTAAATGTAAGACCAGAAACTATAAAACTCCTAGAGGAGAACATAGGCAAAACACTCTCAGACATAAATCACAGCAAGATCCTCTATGACCCACCTCCCAGAATATTGGAAATAAAAGCAAAAATAAACAAATGGGACCTAATGAAACTTAAAAGCTTTTGCACAACAAAGGAAACTATAAGCAAGGTGAAAAGACAGCCCTCAGACTGGGAGAAAATAATAGCAAATGAAGCAACAGACAAAGGATTAATCTCAAAAATATACAAGCAACTCCTCCAGCTCAATTCCAGAAAAATAAATGACCCAATCAAAAAATGGGCCAAAGAACTGAACAGACATTTCTCCAAGGAAGACATACAGATGGCTAACAAACACATGAAAAGATGCTCAACATCACTCATTATCAGAGAAATGCAAATCAAAACCACAATGAGGTACCATTACACGCCAGTCAGGATGGCTACTATCCAAAAGTCTACAAGCAATAAATGCTGGAGAGGGTGTGGAGAAAAGGGAACCCTCTTACACTGTTGGTGGGAATGCAAACTAGTACAGCCGCTATGGAAAACAGTGTGGAGATTTCTTAAAAAACTGGAAACAGAACTGCCATATGACCCAGCAATCCCACTTCTGGGCATACACACTGAGGAAACCAGATCTGAAAGAGACACGTGCACCCCAATGTTCATCGCAGCACTGTTTATAATAGGCAGGACATGGAAGCAACCTAGATGCCCATCAGCAGACAAATGGATGAGGAAGCTGTGGTGCATATACACCATGGAATATTACTCAGCCATTAAAAAGAATTCATCTGAATCAGTTCTAATGAGATGGATGAAACTGGAGCCCATTATACAGAGTGAAGTAAGCCAGAAAGATAAAGACCATTACAGTATACTAACACATATATATGGAATTTAGAAAGATGGTAATGATAACCCTATATGCAAAACAGAAAGAGACACAGATGTACAGAACAGACTTTTGGACTCTGTGGGAGAAGGCGAGGGTGGAATGTTTCGAGAGAACAGCATCAAAACATGTATATTATCTAGGGTGAAACAGATCACCAGCCCAGGTTGGATGCATGAGACAAGTGTTCGGGCCTGGTGCCCTGGGAAGACCCAGAGGGATCGGGTAGAGAGGGAGGTGGGAGAGGGGATCAGGATGGGAAATACATGTAAATCCATGGCTGATTCATGTCAATGTATGACAAAACCACTACAATATTGTAAAGTAATTAGCCTCCAACTAATAAAAATAAATGAAAAAAAAAATTACCATATGATAAAGCAATTTCACTTCTGGGTATATACCCCAAAGAATGAAAAGCAAGGTCTCAAAGAGATATGTGTATACCCATGCTCAGAGCATCATTATTTATGATAGCTAAAATGTGGAAGCAACCTAAATATCCATAAACAGATGAGTAGATGCTATATACATACAGTGGAATATTACTCAGCCCTAAGAAATTCTGACATATGCTACACTGTGCTAAGTCTTGAGAACTAGGTGCGATAAGCCAATTACAAAAAAACAAAATCTATACGAATCCACTTGCATGAGGTTTTTTTTTCCCTTAGGTATTAAAAAATCATAAAAAGTGGAATGGTGGTTGCTAGGGGGATGGGAGAGAGGCGATAGTAGGGAGTTATGTTTAATGGGTATAGATTTTTAGTGTTATAAGATGAAACAGTTATGAAGATGGATGATGGTGATGGTTGCACAATATTATGAATGTTTTTATTACCACTAAACTGTACAATCAAAATTGGTTAAGATGGTAAATGTTACGGTATATGTGTTTACCACAGAAAATATTGGAAGAAAAACAAAAGAGACCTTGGGGGAGTACTGGAAGAACTAACAAGAAAAAAATATGAAAATATTTAAAAGATATACAGGATACATCGTAAGGATTCAAAAGAAAAGAAAGGACATTTAAAAAGAATTCCAAAAGAAAAGAAATGACAGTGAATCAGTATTGAAGCAATGTGTAAGAATTTTTCAGAATTGAGAACTTGAGGTTTCAAAAGGGACAGTAAAATTAAAACTAAAAAAATAAAACAAAGCTAAATAAAATAAAAAAGAGAAGCATGCACAAACTAATGACAATAGTATGCCACGAACTTAAGTGATACGACTGTCCTAGATCTTTGTACTTGAGAATTTTTTTTAATTAAAATAAAATAAAACACACAAAACAACCAGGCCAAGCACAGGAATAAAAACAAATTCAGGACACTTGTTTACATCTGAAGAGGAAGAGAGAAAAATGAGGATAGGAGAGTATACAACAATGTATTTTTTATATTCACTGTTTCTTCTTACAATGAGAAGAAAACACAAAAAACTGAAGCAAATATAGCCAAATGTTAAAACCTGATAAAAATGAGTGTGGGTACATGTATATTTATCATAGTAGTCTCTATTGTCTCACTCGATATTTAAAATACTACAGAAAAATCAACAGAATATAAAAGAACAAAAGCAAAAAGTTTACATGAAAATGATGGCTCAGAGGTAAAGAATTGGCCTGCAATGTAGGAGACACGAGAGGTGGGAAGATCCCCGTTAGAGGAAATGGCAACCCACTCCAGTATTCTTGCCTGGAAAATCCCATGGACAGAGGAGCCTGGTGGGCTACAGGCCATGGGGTCACAAAGAGTCGGACATGACTGAGCTACTGAGCATGCAGGCATGATGATATCAAAGGCAGCGTGTAAAGATGGTAGCAGTTTGGTATTCCAGGGTAAAAATCTGAATAGGATAGTATCTAGAAAAAAGTGTGTGATCAAAAATGAAGCTTATTATTTTTTAATTTAAAGATAATTGTTTTACAATATTATGTTGGTTTCTGCCATATATCAGCATGAATCAGCCATAGGTATACCTACTTCCTCTCCCTCTTGAACCTCCATCCCACCTCCTACCCCATCCCAGCTTGATGAAAGGCTGTCACAGAGCCCCGGTCTGAGCTCCCCGAGTAATACAGCAAATCCCCACCGGCTACTTATTTTACATACGGTAATGTGTATGTTTCCCTGCCACTCTCTCCATTCGTCCCACTGTCTACTTTCCCTCTCCCTGTGTCCATAAGTCTGTTCTCTATGTAGGTGTCTCCACTGAAACTGAAAGTGTTAGTCACTCAGTCATGTCCAATTCTTTGTAACCCCATGGACTGTAGCTCTCCAGGCTCCTCTGTTCATGGAAGTTTTCAGGCGAGAATACTGGAGTGGGTTGCCATTCCCTTCTCCAGGGGATCTTCCCTACCCAGGGACCGAACCCAGATCTCCCACACTGTGGGCAGCTTCTTTACCATCTGAGCCACCAGGGAAGCCACCAACGGAAGTGTTCACTGCTGCCCTGCAAATATGTTCATCAGTACCACTGTTCTCGATTCCAAATATATGCATTAATATATGAGATCTGTTTTCTTCTGACTTACTTCATTCTGTATAATAGGCTTTAGGTTCATCCATCTTATTAGAACTGACTCAAATGCATTCCTTTTATGGCTGAGTAATATTCCATTGTACATATGTACTACAGCTAAAAATGAAGCTTATAATTTAATTAATGAGAGAAGAATCTTTAACATGTCTATACATAGACTATGTAAAAGAATGAATAACAAAGAGTAACTAAAAGAAAGGACAGAGAAAGAATAAGTGTTTAAATAGGTTTGGGGGGACAAAATGACAAATGGGATGATTGCCTATTCACTGAGACTTTAGTGAAAGAAAGACTATATTTCAGATTTAGATTAAAAAGGGTTTATAGCTTTGGGAGTTATCAATTAAGTAAACTACATTGATAGCTTTTATTTTTTCTGTGAAGTACAGGATATAGTCAACTCAACTGCTAAGTAGAAAGTGGAAGGAGAAAATGGAAGATTCAAAAATAAATGTTTATTTGGGTCATTTTAGCCCTACAGTATAAAATGTGACATTTGACTATAAATGAAACTGCTGGTGGCAAGATAAATTTGAACTTTCCTTAAGTTCACTCCGGGCAAAAGATTAAATAGATGTATCATTTTGGAAACAATGGAATGATGGATAATTAACTTGTAATGCATAAATTCTGTTCAAGTTCACTTTAATCAGAAGTGGATTTGGGGAATGACATATTTAAGAGCTTCCTCCAAGTAAAGAGAAGATCCAAATTCTCAAAGGAACTATTCTTGCTTGCAATTATATGTGCTCCCCACACATAACTCAAATTATCTTCTTGTATTGATTAGTTATATTTGTTAGCAAGTAAAGGTAATTTTCTGAATTCAATGCTAACATGCAAAATGTCTAAGAAGTTCAACCTTTTGACTTTTCATCACATGTCTGCTAAATTCAAATGTGCACTATCATAGGGATTACTAGAGAGGAGCTCAAACTTTCCACAGGTAAAGCTATATACAACAACATACTTTGTTAAAGATTTTAAATGCTAGAATTATGTAAAGTTTATGCTGTCCTCAAAAAGTAGTTGATTTGTAGACTTCCAAAGAGATCTTCTTCTACCTTTATAATTTGGCATCATAGATCAGTATATCACAGACTCAACTTCACATATATGAGAACATTCAGCATGAGAAAGATACAAAAAGCAATGATCACCTTAGGTAGTTGAATTGAAGAACAAAGAAAAGATATATTAATTTTGACTACAAGTCCTATATTCTTCTCACTACCCCAATTAACTTCACATTCAAAGAATACATTTGCCTTAGAACATGATGGAAAATTGCAAAGAAGTGAATCACTTCAAAGAGAATATAAATCATTTGAAATATCTGATAAAAGACTCAACAGCATTATTCTAAAATATAATTAACTATAGTTCTAATTAATTTATAAGATTGTGTTCCATACTTTTCTATCTCTGAATCCAGAACGTTTCTTCTTTTTCTCTTCTGGATAAGGCTCAAGACAAACACCTGCAGCCTTTTTTTCAGCATTACAATCTTCCCCTTCCTCTTTACTCTTCCCTTTATCACCAAGTTCACTCTTGATGTTGTCTGCAGATGGCGGAGATTCTGCAAGGGCCCTGGATATGCAAAAAATAAAAATTAAAAAATCCATCAATCAAGAAGGTCCATCATATTAAACAAATAGATTCTCAGGTAGAGCTTAGCAGGAGTAATAGCAATGAAATTCATTAAAAATTCTACAAGAAAAGGTTGCTCAAAAAATTAAAAATAGAACATAAAATCCAGCAATTCCACTTATGGTTATATATCCAAAAGAACTGAGAGCAGGGTCATGAGGAGATTTTTGCACTCATGTTAATAGCAGCATTACTCATAATAGCTAAAACGTGGAAACAACCCAAATATATGTTGATAGATAAAACGGATAAAAGAAATATGGTATACTCATATAATAGAATAATATTAAGCCAGAAATCAATCCCTTTTCCATAAAAGAGATAACTGGAAGAATAAAAGTACATGCAGGAATAGGATGGTCAGTTAACACTCACCTTTTCCACAACAGACCAGTACTTGCAGTTATTGCAGATGCTCCAAGAAAAGCCACCATCATTAGCCGTCGCCTGATCTGGGTGGGCTGTGATCCTCCATGGTACCATCGAGAGCGCACTGCCAGCTCTGCCAGTGCAGAAAGTGAGTTAAGACGAAACATCCTATGGACAAAAAGTAGAAATATTATTCCTAGCAAATGGCAGTGACAGTGATGATGATGATAATAACAGTATTAAAACTAATAAACACTAGATATTTAATGGCAGACAGTATTCTAAACACTTGACAATACCATGTATTATCCCATTAAATCCTCAGAACAATCAAATGAGACAAATACATGACTCATAAACCTGATATGTCAGTTAAGGTACAATTAGAAGAAACCACATGGTAATTTGAACAGGGAAAGTTTAACATAAAGCACTATTAATTACAATAGGCAAAGAAATACTAAGGGGTAGACACTTCAGATACAGGGAGCAGTCACTACTTACAGGGATATTTCAGAGCAACAAAAAAGGAATATATCTGTAAAGGGGCCACTCCCAACTGGGCTGAGATCAGACACTGTGGTGAGGATGCAGCTATGGATGTCTGAGAAATTTGCTTAAGTGCTATACTAAAAAACTCACTGTAAAGCCATCCACAAGTGACTGAAGGAGAAACGGGCATTTCTTCTAGATTACATGACTTTTTGTAGTGGCAATTCATTCAAATCACAAAAAGTAACCATGCTTCTCCTCTTTGATTTTCTCAAAGCATAGTTTACTGCTTCCTGATTTAAATTATCTTGTACTTTGTACATATACTCACATATTCACATATTTGTAACATACATAAGTTTGCCCCACCTTCAACATACAGACTTGGTTCTGAGTTTCCTTTAAGGTCAAAGTTATTCTTTATCTTTCTGAAAACAGTCTAACACAGAGGTCATTACATTATAACTGCTTAAAATATTTAACAATTTTACTTTAATATGAAAAATATTAAGTTACAAATTATACAGGTACTGGCTCTGTACATTTAAGTATATTTCTCAGCCCCGATATACTATGTCTTTTATTGTTTGGGTCCAAGTCAAGTTAGACTACTTAGTTATCTCCCTGACTGGTTACTGACTCTTCTCTGAGATCAATACCTATAATCTCAAGTATATCTTTCTCCTAGCCTCCTTCATTCAACCTAGCTCCAACATCAAAGTTGGAGCTAAATCTTGCCCTTACAGATAAAGTGGAAAATTAGTAGTTTTTTCTATGTCATATAACCTAAGCTTCAGCAACACAATTCTTACATTCCTTTCTATCCTAGAAGTCACCTCATTTTATTGCACATAATCTAGCAAATTCCAGCACCAAGGAGATCGTCCTTTTGTTTTCTTCCTGTCAGTCAACTTCCAATTCACTTTTAAATTTACATTTTCCAAACCCACAAGTGCATTCATACACAGCATTGCTTCTGTCTATAACAAAAACAAGCACAACTAAAATACTCATATCTGGTGAAAACAATATTCATCATTGACAACAGAAAGAAAAGGGCACTTGAAAGTTTTCAATGTGAAAGACAAATAACAACCAATCCAAAAGCTGGACCAGGGATTTCCCTGGCAGTCCAGTGGTTAAGATTCTGTGCTCTCACTTCTGAAGGCCTGGGTTCAATCTCTGATTGGGGAACTAAGGTCGTGCAAGCTGTGTAGCATGGCCAAAAAAAAAAAAAAAAACCTAACTGCATAAGAGATGTGGAAGACAAACAGGAAAGAAACTAAAATAATAATGACAACGTTGAGTAATACAGAAGGTGAAAGGGAATAGGAATCCAATGACTCAAGATCTAGTCTCAACTCTACTACTAAACAGCTGTGCACAAAGTAAGCTCATCTCCCCTCCCCAGAGAAGAGTTTATCTACTGATGAAAGAACTGCCTACAGGAGTTTTAGGGTTTGTTTTCTCTCTTTCATGTTCTCATACCTCTGGTGAAAAAAGATAAGGCAAAATTTAATCTATTTCAGTTAGGGGGAGAGACTAAAACAGTATATACATGGTTCAAAACTTACTAGCTTTGAGAACCCATTTCTGTATGCTATGGCTTCAGGGGATTTTAAACTTTGGAGGTCCTGAGTTATAGGAACATTCCACTTACATTTGGCATTGTAATTCAAATGTTACTGTCTACATCTCATTTCACCACTGATTCTAATCTCATTCCCCAAAGTACACATCAAAATATATATCTATTCATCTTCTCTAGTGTCATTTCCAAAGGTGCCAAGTAAACTGAGGGAAAAAACTATTCCCCTGAGAACAGACTATTATAATTTAATCCCCAGCTTTGTACTGAAGAAATGGTGTAACTAGTTGAATGTGCCAATTTTTGATGAGAGACCATTTAAACAGATTTAAGGAGATCCACTTTCCAACTGAGTCTGGAAAACTGAATAGGCCAATTGGCAGCAGTTATGTAGTAATGAAGATTAACATGTACATTTATGACATGGATTAAATTAAATCAAAACCAGTGCATTTTTCTCTTCCCTAAGAGTCCCCATCCTTCTCCAAAAAAAGCATGCCTCTAAAAAATAACTTTTATGTGAACTGAAAAAAGATGAAGAGGTATTTCTAATCAAGAAATGTCAGGGGAAGCAAGTAAAATATAATTCTGTTACCGAAGAAAAGCATTATCCATGCAACAAGAAACAGAACAAGTTAGTTAAAAACAAACAAAAACCTGTAACAGTATAACATTACTGTTTCCATATCTATTCCTTTTAAACTATTATGCTTAAGGTATCGCTTTTGGTAAATTTCAAAGGGGCACAGAACCAGAAAATCACTTAATTAAATATCCCTATTTTACAGGTGAAGGAACAAAGATCCAGATAAGTTATGCGGTTTACTTATAGCTAATTAGTACAAAAACCTAATCAGTACAGTAGATCCTAAAATTCTTGATTCCCAAATAAGCAACCCAAGGAAGGGGAATCACTTTAATTAACTGTTCGCAGCAAAATAAATATAACAGCCACACTTCAGAAGGAGATCAAGTGTCCAACCATAGAAAGATAAACAATTTTATAATAACAGACTACAATGTAATACAAATATTAAAATTATAACCATTAGAAAGTATTAAATATTATTTCACAAGCCAACAGAAAGCTGTGCTAAAGATATAAAAAGACAGTTGGGAAAAGAAATAAACATGGCTCTGTAAGCTATGAAAAGATACTTAATATCACACATAATAAAAGAAAGCAAATTAAAAATATATTGAGGGCTTCCCTGGTGGTCTAGTGGCTAAGAATCCATCTGCCAATGCAGGGGACATGGGTTCGATCTCTAGTCCAGGAAGACCCCACATGCCACGGAGCAATTAAGCCAGTGCCTCACAGCAACTGAGCCCACGCGCTGCTGCTACTGAAGCCGGGGTGTGGAGAGCCTGTGCTCTGCCACCAGAGAAGCCGCCTCAGTGAGCAGCCCAGGCATCACGACAGTGACCCTCATTTGCGACTCGAGGAAGCCTGCACACAGCGACAGTGACACAGCACGGCCAATAAAAGAAATAAATCCCTTTAAAAAACCTATACTGACATTCACTCATTAAGCTGGCAAAATCCGGAAGTTTGAAAACATACTTGTTAGCAGTGCTGTAGAAACGGCACTGCTGAGGAATGTGTAAATTGGTACAATCTATGGAGGGCAATTTGGTAATATCCATCAAAATCACCCAAGTAAGTTGCATACATTGACCTAGCAATTCCACTTCTGACTTAATACACTACTGATACACTTGCACACCTCTGAAATTACACATATAGACAGCTATTCATTGCATCATGACTGTAACAAACCCACCTCTTTGCGACCTCGTGGACTGTAGCCTGCCAGGCCCCTCTGTCCATGGAACTCCCCAGGCAAGAATACTGGAGTGGGGAACCACTTCCTTCTCCAAGGGATCCTCCCAACCCAGGGATCAAACCTGGGTCTCCTGCATTGCAGGCAGATTCTTTACCATCTGAGCCACCAAGGAAGCCCATGAAACAAACAGCAAAAGACTAAAAACCACCCCAAAGAGAATCAAGAGAGAACTGCTTAAACTACGGTAATACACACAGGGCAATAACACATAGCGATTAAAAGAGAAAGAAACAACTATGTATATATTTGAAAAGATTTTCAAAACATATTGTTATCTTAATAAAGCAAGGTGTGGGATAGCATATGTAGTACACTACCCTTCATGTAAAAAGAGGGGAAATAAGAATGCATATTTGTATATTCTTATTAAGTAACTCTGGAAGGACACACCAATAGTATGTGTCCTATACCAATATGAATAAAAGTAAGTAATACCAATAGTGCTGTCAGGGTTGGGAAATGGGTAAGATATCCGACAGGGAGATTTTTATGACATAGCATTTTATTTTTAAAACTACACTTAAGTATTCATCTAGACAAAAGAGTATTTCAAACAAGCATCTTCACTGAAGTTTAAAGACAGATACAAGGTAATGTGTGCATGCCAATTAAATAAAGTAAAATATACGTGCAGCTTTTTAATTTAGAAAAAATATTTAGATGATGCAAATAAAACTTAATGATTATTCTGGGGAAAGAGTTTACTTAAACTTACTCATTCAAAGAAAAATAAAGGCAGGCCCAGGTTGATGTTTTGTCATTTACCAGCCCTATGAACAGGCTGAGGTCCAATAATGCCTCAGAAAACAACCTACTGAGTGAGGTCTGCTCAGTTGTGTCCGACTCCTCACGACTCCATGGATTTAAGCCTGCCACACTCCTCTGTCCATAGGATTTCTCAGGCAAGAATACTGGAATGGGTTGCCATTTCCTTCTCCAGGGGATCTTCCCAACCCAGGGTAAGGATCGCACCCAAGTCTCCCACATTTCAGGCAGACCACCTTAAAGGTCCCCTAAGCTTTAACTCCCTGTATTAACCACATATATTATGGCAAATTTCCCTAGTAAGATAAGACTTACTTAAATCAAATTCACATCCCAATACTCAGATTACTGGCACATCCTGATTCAACTTATTAAACTATTAAGATTCCAGACTTTATCCTGAGCCTGACTTAAAATATCTGCTTATACTCTACGTTATGCCCCTGGTATTTATGACCTCTGACAACTGCACATT